GGAATGGTGAGAATGTGCGATTTCAATGCATTTTCGGCTTAAAGCGGCTGCCATTTGGCTATTGTTAATGAAATCATGAAACAAATTCACATACATATTTGTGACATGATGTACCTTGCGTGTGTGAAGTTTGAACTCGATCAATCCAGGCATGTCTCAGATACGGATCCAGAACTGAATTTTTTAAAACAAAATGGCCGCCAGTCGGCCATTTCGAACTTGATCGGAAAAAAATAATGACGTGCATCAAGGTCCTATTATGTTTAATGTATGTACCAAATTTGAACAAAATACGTCCATGCATAACTGAGATCCAGGATCGGAATGGTGAAAATGTGCGATTTCAATGCATTTTCGGCCTTAAAGCGGCCGCCATTTGCTATCGTTAATGAGATCATGAAACAAATGCACATACATATTTGTGACATGATGTACCTTGTGTGTGTGAAGTTTGAACTCGATCAATCCAGGCATGTCTTAGATACGAATCCAGAACTGAATTTTTTAAAACAAAATGGCCGCCAGTAGGCTATTTCGAACTTGATCCCCAAAAAAAAATGATGTACATCAAGGTCCTATTATGTTTAATGTATGTACCAAATTTGAACAAAATCCATCCATGCATAACTGAGATCCGGGTTCGGAATGGTGAAAATGTGCGATTTTGATGCATTTTGGCCTTAAAATGGCCGCTATTCGGCTATCGTTAATCGGATCATGAAAAAAATGCATGTCCCATATATTGTGTGATGTATGAGTGAAGTTTGAACCTAATCGGTCCATGCATGTTCAAGATACAGGTGATCACGGACACACGGATGCACAGACGCATGGACACACGGACGCACACAGGGCAAACCATAACAAAATGTGCTGATGCTAGTCTTGAATGTCAGAACAGTCACCAGTATGATTCTATATACATAGCATAATGTTAGTAAATTCAGCTACATGTAGTTGGCACACCCTTGTAAAATGGTTTGATCGAACAAGTATGTAACAATCTTGAAAACAACATAGCAAACCAGTCAGCAACTTATAGCTGGCACTGTCGCTGTTTGACTGTCCAAACAAATTACCTGGTGACAGTAACACCCAATAAAATTCAAAATCAATTTTCTGAATCAAGACTCACTGCACTTACACAAATGTATGGCATGTGTTTTAAATTGTCAGTAAAATAAACTACATATTTGCACAGGATCATAGATGATTGTAAATATGAAATTCAAGTTGGTCAAAGCATGAGAAATAGACAGATGTACAGCTGGACGAATCCTTGCACCAAATATTATGAATCATTCTGTACAATAAGGTTCATTTGCAGAGACCTTCTCATAATTTTGGAGAAAGTTGGTTATAAATCGCATAATAATGTTCAATGCTTTATTATGTACATTCAATGCGCTAATATCCCATGGCACAGTGAAATAGCATTCTATTGTATGTTACAGTTACTTTTTTTGAGAAACTTGTTATATTATTTTTCAGATCAATGTTAGAGAAAAATTGCATGTTTTGACACTTTTTAAAGCAATAAAATATACATTGTCAATATACAATTTTTTTTCAGCCTATGTCACCAGCCTGCAATTTGAGATATGGCAATTATATATAACATCTCTACCTATGTTAAAATCATTAATATAGCAACTATCTAGTACAACTATCATTTTCTTGAAAAAAAGACTTAAAAAATGTGATCCCCACTTTTCAAGTCATTTATATTACCTGAGAGTACAATTTATTGCAAAATGAATAAATTCTGGGTATTTTTTATTTATGAGTAGGCTTCTTCCTTAATGTTATCTTTCAATATTAAATAGAAGTTTTTAGTACAGTCTCAATATGTACAATTTTTGGCCAAGAAAACCACCAACCACATTACTACAGTATATTATTATGTATTCACCTTCTACAGCTCAATGTCAGAAAAAGTATTTTTCTAAAGTGAGGATAAAAATTAAAAATTGGCATCAGTAAATATAGGTAAATCAACAACATAAATATTTTAAATAATTGATTCTGACAATA